GTGCATGCCTGTGCATGACCTCATATGACCTCATCCTGGTCATATGACCTGATCACCTGACTAGGCTGAGTAAGCAAGATGTTCTAGCAGGTTCCACCACAGAGGTATAAATATAAGGCCTACTCTGCCTGGGACTGTCTCTTCAGACTTGGTCTCTTAGGATCATCCACAGATACCTATACTGTAGATAGGTCTTAGTCATCAGGTCTACTCCACTTCCTTGTTGCCTGCTTAGACTCTTGGCACTCTTAGGTGAGCAGACTTAGTCAGCCTGTGTTGCCCTAACAGGAACCAAATCTTTTTTCTGATGAAGAAACTTCTTTGCACAACATTCACACTATGTCAGGAAACAGAGTGAGAAACCAGGGCATAGAAACAGAAGAATAAACGGATACTTGCCCATTGAACACCAAAAGGGGGGGATCCATTAGATGCAATGACCTACAGACACAATGGTGAATGATAAGAAACCTGCCCTCACAGGGAAAGAGATGTGCACTGACTGCGACTTCCTCCACAGAGACGACATTAGTCCAATCCACCAAACCATCTTCCATCACAAAACTGATGCCAATCCTGGATATTAATCCATGGACAGAAGGCTCCTATGCATCAGACAAGGAAAAGAGACAAAAGGAAGAAAGGGCATATGAAGTTTTGCAGCAATGCATCCAGTTGACTTACATGGCCCGCGGACTGCCCTTTTCTCTTGGCAAGAGAAGGGGAATGGAAAGGGGTGGTCGAAGAATGCAAAAGAGGATGCTTGTCATTCCGAAGAGAATATCGTGTCTAAAAGAGTGTGAACAACAGCAAAAAATAGTAAAGGAGAAGCATACCTTGTGAACAGAAAGGATATCATGATCAGGATCAATAGGACTGGAAACAGTGATGGACTGATTCAATGAACTGGTACAAGAAGGTCCATTGAGTGGGATGGAAGACGACACTGGGTGAGGTAAATTCTGAAGAAGGGCTTGGTCAGGAAAAGTGGTAGGCTGAACATCAGATATAAAGGGGTAAAATGTCAAAGAACAAAGAAACTAACCTGGTGAGAAGCATCAGCAGATCCTTCTGACTGGAACCCACTGAAAGATGGGACTTCAGATGTATCATATGAACTGGAAGAATGTATATGAGAGGACACCTGCAATTACATGTCACCAAATGGAAATGAGGGCCAACAAAGAAGATGAAAGACCCATGTTGAAATGTGACTGTCCATCCTCACATGAATGTGCAGTGAGAGACAAAACAGGGGCCATAACCATGGATGAAAGGGGTGCAGAGATGGCATCAACAATAGTGGGGTTCAGAGCTAACATATTCCTGGATTAAACAATGAGAGTTTGTATAAAACACAGAAGAACCTGGAGTGATATCACTAACGGAGTATGTCTGTTTGGATAAAAAGGAACTGAATGGGAAACCTCGGGTGCATGGGAATTACTGGAGGTGGGAGGAGAGGGAGCAATTGATAAAGGGGCAACACATGACACCTGATCAGAAGACAAAGAGCCAGAGATAGACTGCATATTGAGATCTGACATGAGGCTCTCAGAAGAGCATGCCCAACCAGCCCTCATCAATTCCATGGTCATCCACCAATAACAACCCATGAGCTGGCAGAGATGAGGAGTCAGCTGATCAAACTGGGAGGGGTCAGCAGACACCACAATATTGAGAGCAGACTATAGAAGACAAAGATTTGAGTGAAGTACTGGGTTTAGGAAGAAGATACACATACTCTGGAGGTTTCCAACACACCTGGTAAAGAGAGGGATACAGTATGATCCCAAGAATCCTTGTTGGACAGATCCAATAACACATGAAAGAGATTTTCAGCTTGAGTGATATTGGAGCTGAAATGATCGGAAGCAGACTGATCAGACAACATCTGAATATATAGCACTGATTAGAGAGCACAGAAAGGAAGAGCAAGAGGTTGCCAATCTTCAATGATGGTCAGAGAGAAGAACTGGACACAATGACAAAAGGAAGGGGATAAGCGGAAGGAAAAGAGTGCCACAGAAGGAGAAGACAAAAGAAGATCTTACTAATCGCTGAGAAATTGAGAGAAAACAATGAGTATCCATGAAATTTCCATTGAAACAAGTTTCCAATGACTTACCATAACATATCTACTGTCAGCGTTTTGATCCCTACTCTCACGAGCTAGGGGACTAAGCCCTCATTGCTGTCTACAACTCACAACCGCCTTCGTTCTCATGTCTCAATACTCTCTCACACGCAATGCCTGCGAGCTCATGGTCCAAGGGCTGCAAAATCACGTCGGATTGGTAGTTCAAGTGCTGTTGGTTGCACCCCTCGCCCAGCGCAACCCGTACGAGCCAGCTCAATACAGGTCAGTGCTGTCAACGAAGCGCTCATGGATAACTGCGCTGACCTGTGGCAGAGTTGAACTCGGTGATGGAGAGCACTGGGTAGAGGCGACCTTAAACTACAACCTCAATGCCTTATTCCGAGCGAACAAGATATGCTCGCTGATGGTCATTCGCGTGGACAGCTTCACCCGTGTGCTCTACGAGTCGGGCAAAGTGTGAGTCTGCTCTCTCCTCTCTATGGTCCCGATGCTGATCTTGCCCAAGTATGCTCATTCTGGATGTGGTAACGCCACTGAGTGAAGCGCAAAAGCTTTGGAGGGCAGCGATGGCTTGAAGCGTATGGACTGTGTCGATCGCTCCGGAGATGTACGCGCATTGGCTTCTGCGCCGTCCGGCGACGTTCTGTTCGACTGCTGGGACAATGAGCCTATCTCAGACGAGCCTATCTCGTATCGCACAATTACTTCAGCCACTCTCGGAGGAGAGTGACCCTCTACACCGAGGCTGCAGGTCGAGGAGCTAACTAATATGGACATGAGAGTGAGTTTTCGAGCGTGACACGAGGCGGAATGCCTAACGCTGCTGTAGATTCGCCCAGCGGTCCCCGCTTGATGTACCGATGAAACCCAGGCTTATCACTTGCTGTCAAGTCTACGTCTCCTAGACACTCCTCTGCAATCGAGAGCATATACTCTGCACGCTCAAAAGTGCCTCGTACTTCCCACGCGGTGTAGCAGATGGGGCGTCCCGTCTGTGGCCTCGCATATTTGGAGGAAAGCGTCCAAAAATCCCAACCTTTTCAAGACAATCATCTCTGACACATAGCGATCTCTGCTCCAATGACCCCTCCTCTCTCCACACCACTCAGCCAGTCCGCTCAAAGCCTCCTTGCAATCACTTTCCCACCTCTCTTCCGCTGCCATGCGATCAAGGTCAACCACGCAGCACTGACATTCGGGCTGCAGCCACTGCAGCGCCTGACATTCGGCCTGGCTGGGCATGGAGTAATTGTCAGAGGTTGTTGGCGCAAAGAACCATGAGACACTCTGTGTTTCCTCATCCTCCCACTCAAACATGTGCAGTAACCCAAGGCCCTCGACTGCAACCCACCAATCATAGGGTGGACACCCTCCCAACAGCCATGCTCTGGCTTGCATGTGCATGCCCCAGCGCAATAGTGCCGTCCAGGCATGCTCCACATCGCCTGGTGACCGGGTCGCTCCGTTTGCTCCGGGCCAGGGCCGGAAACCCCTGGCGCCCCGGGGTTTCCCCTTAGCTGGGTGCATCGAAGCCAGTCCTGCGAGCCGTTCGAACCTGCAATTCTCCTACACAGGCACTAATTCCGAGTGCAGCCTCAAGCGCGTCACACTCACCAGGATATTGCGCAGCTCGACAAAGCGGGCGCAGCCCGCCATGTCCTGGTCCTCCCATCCCTGACTTCGTACAAACGTTCGCTGGTTAGAGGCCCGAGTCGCGTCTTTCAGCACCGAAGGTGGGGCAACAAACAACAACCGACCGCTCCCCGGACATCCCACGAGGAAAGCCACATTCACGTCATCGAACCCCACAATGTTGGCGTGGGTCAACCCTTCTTCATCTTCCCATATTTCGGTGCGAGGGATGGTGCTCGGATCCACCTCTTCCAGCAGGTGTTGGTTCCATTCATAGGGCAGACGGGCTCGGACCAAAGCATGCCTTAGTTTCAACCCCTGTGTGCTGATGGCCTCGTAATGTTGAATGAAGAATGCATCTATACCGGATTGGCCGACGCATAACCCGGATATGCGACCTCCTGCAGGCAGCTCAACAATGCATTGTAATTTGCATGTGGCTACGGGCGACTGGCCCCGATGAATGCAAACCCGGAAATTTTGTATCCAGTGTCGTGATCGAGCGAGGATGCCAACACATACATGGGTTTGTCCCTGATGGCCATCGACGAAGGTAGTAGACCGGTGGTTGTCCCACAACCTACTGCTCCATATCATGTGGTTCATCTTGAACAACTCCATATAACCCAGATTGGGTCCCGGGGGGGCCGGGATTGGCACTTCAAGGTGGCCGAGGTCATGGAGGTCATAGATTGCGAAACATCTGGTCAGCATCACCAGCAGCATGTCTTGGACGAAGAACGCGTTCTGTGCAAATTCCTATCTCGATGCTGTCAGCAATAGGCATCTGGTCGCATAAGCTTTATACGGACCATGGGCGGCACAGTCAAAGACACGATTCGTTTAGAACGTGTATTGACCAAATGCAGACCGTATGCGCCTTCATGATGCGTACAGCAGATCCAGTTCTTTGTCGCTGCCACGAGACCGCTGGACTTCGAGTACCTCGCTTTGTCTCGTATGATGGCGTCTGTCATGCTTCTGACGACGGTGCAGCGAAAAAGCCTGGTGTTGCTTTGGCAGACACTGTCGTTTTTGTGTGCGTTTCTGACTTGCGTGCAAGTGGCTGTCAAGTGGAAGTCCAACATAAGGTAGAGCACCGCCGGGTTTGTGGGATCATTGTCAAGCATGCCCCCGCGGACGCTCCCCATTCTCCGTAATGCCTTCGCCAATGCACGAGTGCCGAGGATCGGCACTTCCATTAGCTGTCCCCCGTGATAGTCATAACCACAGAGTTCCAGACGTGCCGTCAAGAGAAGGAGAGTGCCGTTGACTATCCCAGCCCATTGCCAACGCCCGCCCGCCAAAGGCACCTCAGTGGCCTTCATAACATAGGAGGACTTTGGTGCCAGTGACGCCAAAGTCCGGTGTCCCCCCCCTGCAAAATTGTGTGAAGGTAGGAAGCGGCATCCGCTCCTGGGAGGTCCTTCCACATGCAAGGCGATGCTGGGACCGCTTGACCTGGCTGGCTAGCCAGACGCCTCACCCGCAGGCGAAGTTCGGTATCGACCACGCACAACAATGTTCTGCAAACCTGAGTCGGTGTCAGTGCCTGGGACGATGTGTTAATGTGACTGGGTAATACCCCGCGCAAAGCCAGCAGTTCCGGTAGATCCACCATTTCAACGATAGCCTGCTGGAGCTCAATTGGACTGGTAGCAAACATGGATGACCTCATGCTGGTCAGGAAGAGGTGACAAGTCAAGCTTGGATAGTAGGATACTGTATGTTTGGTGGGATTCAGAACAGATATCAATCAGTTGTGATTATATGATACTATGTTAGGTGGTGGTTCACCTTTAGGGGCTGGGAGAAGGGGGCACCGCCACCGGGTGTTAGATATAAACGGAATTATATAACACGGGAAAATCACATGGGTACACCCAATTTGTTATCGACTTGCTTTCCGACGGCACATTTTAGCCTTTCCCACCACTAAGATACATAAGAAGGTGTAAAACACCACCAAAACTTCGATACAATGAGCGCATATTGGGAGCCAGGAGAAAGTTGACAGGGATGTAGCGGAACGGAACGCAGACAGAGGCATAAGCCGAAAGGAATCCGTTGAGGGAGGGTACTCTGCTGAACGGGACAAGAGCGACGCGTCTTTTCGATCAAGAAGTTTCACCCATCGATGCTGATGCTGCTTTGGCAGTACTTCCCTATCGGCCACCAGTCCGACCTCGACTTATCTTCTCCGAAGAAGACGAGAGTATCTCCTTGACGTTAACGCGTGGACTGCAGATGGGCAAGGACAGATGGGCACAAGTCTGGCTCGCATCCGTGCACGTACCCGGTATCAGCGAACTGCATCAGATCGCTGTCAAGCTCCTTCAAGAAGCATTTTGTCCCCATTCGGAAGATGATGACGACGAGGACGAC